TATTTATATTTTAGTATACATCATACGTGTTATATTTATTTACGTTTTTGTTATTTTTAATTTCACTATCGTCAGTTATAATAGGACCATTTGATAGATGGAACCTGTTCCATTCAAATGATCATTGGCTGTCAAAAAACAAGAAAAAAAAATCACTTTTTACTTTCAATTAAATTCATTCTTTTTTCATAATATCTGCGCAGCATTCCTTTCACTAATTTCTCTAATAGTTCTTATTTCATGCAAAGTGCATCCCTATTGTATTTCATTTGTTAATTAGGATGTTACTGTCTGTAATTGCCTTTTTTTTCAGCTCTCAATATTTATTCAAATTTTATTAGTTTAAAAATTAAACATCGTGTTATCTGTAAGTCTTAGTTAGCTTACTATCTCAGTAGTACCATTTAAATTAAAATAATTTTACAAGCATGGAAGTAACATTCATGCACGTGAAAAAAAAACTATTTTAATTATTTTAATTTTTTATTGAAATTTCAAAGAATGAGCTTCATTTGTTGATTACTGAAATGAATAATGTTTTTAGATTTGCTTTTAAGATGTCTTTTTTTTTTGTTCTGCAAGACAAAAGGAATTTTATATCACATTTCACTTGCTGATGTGTATTTAGCTTAATTTTATATCACACCATGCATCACTTTTTATCGTTCATAATTCAATTTAAAATATTGCTCAAAATATTTTCAGGAATTTACAACGTTCGATAATAAATACAAATTAATGGATACAGAAATGATGCTATTATTAACCATAATATTAAGCACAATCAATCTCGGTGGAGGAAATCGACGCAGAAACCATCGTAACATCATGTGAAGTTTTCATGAATATCATGAATAGTAAGGCTAGTCCATATATTCAGGCAAAATTAATTGTGCTTAATTCATCTGTTAAAAAAAACCATAGAGCGGAAAGATTTTTGCAAAATTATCTTTGAAATTTGATTGAAATCTATTTCAATAGCTCACTAATAATAAATAAAATAGCGTAGAAGCAATTAATCAAGAGGTAGTCAAGAGATTTTCAGGCAAAGCAAAATGTACCATCGTATGCATACATAATGTCTACAATGTTTGATCGTTTTTTTTTTATATCACTAAAAAATAGCAGTTATATCATTTTTTTTTGCATGTGTAAGTTATGAAAAATGAATTTTGTAAGTTGAATATTAAATGCAAAAAGTTTCCATAAATAAAACTAAAGAAAACCCAAATTCAGGTGTAATAATGGTAGTGCAATCGGTGGCCGATGTGTGTGTATTGCTGGTTATAGTGGTCCTTACTGCAATCGAGTCATGCACTGCAAGTTCAATAAACTTCGATCGAATGGAAGGTTTCAGTTTCTAATTTGTGACTTGAAATGAATTTGAAATTTAGTGAATTTACTTAGCACTGTGAGCAATGTTTCAGCTTCATCACAAAACTTAAACACACCCATGAAAATCCTGAAGAGAAATAAACTTTCAGCTATAGACTTAAAGTATAAATGGAGTTTTCTCAAGTAGTGCTTGAAAATTCATGAAATTCACAGATTGAAATTCACATTATTAAATTTTTATCCACTTTTTCATTCTAAAAAAGTAATGATATGTTGTTTCCAATTTAATGGAATAAATAAATGGTAATTGCAAGCTCTGGAATAAGTAGATGAAATCATTAAATTTTTTTTTTATCCTGTCATAAGCTATGCGAAACAGTGAATAGCTTTATATGTGACAGAGCTTCCAATATGATGATAGAGTGATTATTTAAATGAATTTTGACTGATAAGTTTATGAGTAAGAAGAAGAAAGCCAATAAGTGATATGATTAAAAAGTTTCAGCTGTATCGATTGCTCCACTGGTTGGACAGGTGTTAATTGCGATCAAATTGAATGCATTCATGGTGTGCCAGATGTAATTGGACAAAATTGTCTATGTAATGTACCATACAGCGGACAATTCTGCAAATTCTTGGAAACATCTGATGTTTACTCTTATTACAATCATAAGGTATTCCCAATCTCGTTTTCACCACTTCTTATTTACTCTACGATTTTTACTTTTATTTGACTCTTTCACAAAATAAAATTTACCAGAACATGGCAACATTTATGTAACGAGAATAGATAGCTACTTAATATTACAGAATTACAAAAGACTTCAAAAAAAATCTATAAAATGTTGCTATATGCTAATTAATTGAAATAGAATTTGTTCAGGTTTATAAAATGGGACCAATTGGTGCTATATCAATAATACCACTTATAGTGATTTTATTTGGATGTGAACGGACAGCTAAATCTCGAAGAATTAGGCGTGTGGAAGAGCATCTCTCCGGACAGAATATAATAGTTAATCGTAATAAAATATCAACATTTCTTACCGCAAAGCAAAAAGTGACCAATAATTAGTGATGATTCATCGTCTTGCTGTGCTAAAGATTATATATATATTTGTTTAATCAATGATATACGATATTCCTTTTCTTCAATCTTTTTCAGTTAGTAATAAAATATTTTTCGCTTTATCAATCTCCGTTACTGATAGCTTTTTCTTCATCGTTATTATCAACCATTTCTTTCTACCCTACATTATTGGTAGTGCAAATCTATTCAGCAAGAAGAAACTGATTTAAAAAAAAAATGGACTAAAGTATAACAATCAATTATTTGAAAAAAAAATGAACGAAAAGTGGGAAAAAAAAACATGTCCATTATTTTGTTTTATTTTTCGCGAACGAATTCGACTGTATAAGTTAATGAACAGAAAAATAAAAGTTTTTATGATTGATTTTGATGGAACATTTTTACAATTTAAAAAGAAAGAAAATTAATGTACTTTCGCTATCAGTTTTTCTATTGAAAATTTGGAAAAAAAAAGGAAGAAGTAAGTAATTAGGAACTCGATGATTGACCTTTACTTGTAATTTAACATACGTCGTACATGTCTAACTTCGAGTATCCAATACTAAAAAAAATAAACTAAAATAAATGTTAAATGTATAATTGAATATATGACGAGGATAAAATACACTGTTTGATTGCAACAGAAATTTTTGCATTTTAATTGATCGTCAAATTTATTGATTTTCTCAGTCTTTTCTATTTTCATTGGCAATTTGGTGAACTTTATCAAAAATGCACATTTTTATAGTTACTTAATTGAACTCCTCTTTTAATTAAGTAAGATATTCTAATTTCGAGAGTATTATCTTGCTTTAAATGTAATTTTTTATTGATCAAAATGAAATTTCACTTGCATAAAATTCAGCATGAAAATTAATTCAAGCATAAAATTCACGTAGAAAATTAATTCACATATTTTGAAAATAAAAAATATTAGGTCAAATTATTTGGATATTCAATTGAACGTATGTGACAGTTGTAGCAGAAAGCATGAAAAATAACTTAGCAGTGATACTATTATGAAATAACAAAATAGAGAAAAATCAAAAATGAAGTTAATTAAAATTTGGTGCCGAAAAATTTGCAGCAAAAACTATTCGGATTTTTTTTTTCTATTAGACATACATGAAGCAGCATTCATTGGTAAGCCATGGCGGAGTTGGTATTTCACTAAATGGGCCTAAATCACCTGTCCAACCTATCGAACCAGGCCAGAAGAATTGCTTTGGTTTTGGAATAACTCTATCAACCATAAATCTTTCAACTTTTTTTGCTTTGTGTACTTGTTCATCATCACTATTCCACCATGGTATCAATTGCCTCTCATAGGGATTCTTTTTGGGTGTCCAATTTGGCCAAGTTAAATTTTTGCTAGGCCAATTATACCAATTTTTCACCTTACTATCGGTCCTCTTTTGAAATTGCTTTTTCAGAATATTGGATCGTAGCATGCTTCCTTGATGCTTCTCCTCAGTTCTAGGATCACGGACATTAGCTAAAACTCGTTGTATCGATTCTGCTTTCGGTAATTTTCCGCTTTGCTTCTTTGCTTCCTCATACAAATTTTTCAACATATCTTCGTTACCGTATTGTTTATTATAGCCAGTACCCCATTCTCGACCTTCAGAATGTTTATAATTTCTGCCATAATTATATTCCGTATTCCATTCATCCATTGGCTTATCCAATATTTTCAATCGATTTATCGTATCAGCATCAAAATAATCAGTTGGCCGGAAACTTGGTGGTTTAGCAGCGCCTAAAATAATATTCCCTCTTTTAATTTTTATATTATTGAGAAATTTTTGCATTATTTTGCAATTTTGCAAAGTTTACTTTTTAATTCATTCATTAAAATTATTTTAATTTTGATCGTATCAGTGAAAATAATAAATTATTTGAGAAAAAAAGATGTTAACATATTGACAGTTACTTATTAAATTCATTTATACTGTCATCCCTAAATTATATTTGCATACGAGAGATGTATTTTGAATAAAAAAATAGATTATATCTTTATCAATGAAAATCAAACACTATAAATTAACGTCACTTAATAACTGAATAAATTATGAGAAAAAATCTATGGATAATATTCAATAGTTGCGCACATAGGTGTAACAAATGATATCATATATTGACGAATTGAAAGTAATATTAAATTTGAAAAAAAATTATTCATCGTGCTGAAGTAAAAATTAGCAATTAAATAAAAAATGAAATCATACCGATGATAGATGAGAATACGCTGAACATTAACATTTGAAGAATTTGAGCAGCTGAAGACATCTTGTTCAATTAATTCAGATTAATTGAAAAATAAGATTTATATAATCCCACAAAAAATCTCGTTTTTCTCGCATACTTCTCCATGAACTCTCATACCCGTTTCTCGCTTTCATTGAATGATCACATGAATTATGTTATATGTTGTGGAATGTAAGTATGAAATGTATACAAAAACAAGTCTTTATACTTGGTAATTATTTATGAAATTCACATATTAAATTTTATTGGCTCTCAAACAAACCAACAATTTTTTAATTTTTTTTTTTTTTTTTGTCTCTCAAATTTTATTGCTTCAATAAATTGTTTGATAGCGCAATGATGATAGCGTATATTGTGTTTCATTAAATATTTGCTAACAAATTCATTTACTTTATTTTACATGAATTATTTGCCTTTTTTAATATGCACGAATACACGAATAATTTGCCTTTTTTTAATGATTTCTTTGAAATTATTTCTGAAAATGACGAATTTTATTTCCATGATTTTTGCACATTTTTAATTTTTATTACGAAAAATGATATTCTATTAGCTCTCTTTCCAAGAGAACCCAAATCTTCTGGATTTTATAAAAGGACCAAGAATATCATTTAGGTCAAGAAAAAAAATCACAGTAACAATATCATGCAGATTTCCGGATCATATCGATAAGCAATATCAAGATTTTATCATTACTGGTTACTTTCATGAGATGAATGTGTGACAAATGAGTTTATGAATACCAAACATCTACTGTGTTATACATTTGCTGTACAAAATGAAATTAGAATTGGTAATTTATTAAAACTCAAACAGCCTCAAATTCTGTTAAAAAAATTGGTTGATAAAAATTAGGAAATATTGATCAGAAGTTATGGATCAATAGAAGCCTTTGCAAAGGCTTCTGCTTTAGCACTTATTGGTTTATTATTACGCTTCAAGCTATCCATACTTCCACTATTTGGACCACTATTCCAGCTATCCCATCTTCCAACACCCGAACCACTCTTCCAACTTTTCCATCCACCATATTCTCGACTTCCGCTACCTGATCCCTGATCATCCGCTACAAAAAGCGCTTATTATCAAAAAAGTAAGCAAAAAAATTTCTTAAATTCTGAAAATCTTTTTTTTTTTACAAATTTGTTGCATTTAATTTTAATAATGTTTTAAAAAGTTCGTTTTTTTTTTAAAGATTATAATCTAATATGAACAAATTACATTCTACTCTGTGATCAACATTGAATATGGATAATTACAAAAAAGTTTGCCAAAAGTCTTTTCAAATATTCACAAGAACTTAAAAAGCAAAACCACCAAACTTTCTCCATTTTTTAGCACTTTTGCAACACCTACTCTTAAATTACATTCTTTCAATCAAAAAGGACACAATTTCAAACACTTATTTAAAAATCCTTTTTAAAAAATAGTGAATGAAAATAATTGTATGCCTAAAGTTGATAAATAATTTCCAACCTTCCCATTTACGCCATCCTTCACCACCTCCATTGCTCTTCCAGCTATCCGTATTGGTGTTACCCCAGGAAGTATAAATTTCCGGTCCCTGAACAATACTATCACTCGAATCACTGCTGTCGCCATTTTTTGTGATATCACTACTCCAACTACCCCATCCATGACTACCACCATTGCCCCAAGACCATTTCTGGTTACCGAATTTATCCCAATTATCATCTGAGGTTTGCTTCTTATCCCAACCGGAATTTCCAGTATTCTGTCCGGATTGCCATGAATCTTGCCATCCATTTTCCACATATTTTCCACCATCACGATCCGAACCATACCCAACCCAACCTCTATGCATTCCATTTCCACCTATTGGCATCTTTCCGCTCCAACTTTGTCTCCATTCCACTGCAAAATTAATTAATTCAAATTTTTCTCCAATAAAAAGAAATTCATCAATATGCAAATCCATCCAATGTGCTACTTGTAAATAAACAAAACATCAATTAGTAAACAGTATGAATTAGTAAATAATTCGAATTAATCTATAATTTTTTAAGCAGATTATTACTTACAGAATTCTCTTAACTGACTGTTATATTCAGTAAGATGGTGTAAATTATAAAAATGTTATAAAATTTTAGTATTTTTGTATTTTTTTTTGCTGAAATAATGAAAAGAAACCTGATGGATTAGTGGAAGAGCATTTTGTCGTTAATAAAATTAAAAGAAATCCTGGAAAGAGCAAAAAAGAATTCATGAAAATGAGGGAAATATTCGATGAAAACAAGCCACAATCTAAGTTTCATTTATATAAAACATAAAAGTCGGTCACCGGAACTGGTTGGCTCTTTCCTCGTTCATAATACTTACTTTTTAAATTGATTTTTCAACTTTTTATTATAATTACAAATTCTGCTTCTTTCTTAATTTCTTCACAATCTCAAATTCCGTTTCCTTATTAATTTCATTATGAGTGAATACCTGTTTTCAGGAAGTTATTTCAAAAAAAAAGAAATAAACATTCACTGTTAAAAAGCTTTGTTATGCAAGAAATTTAATACACAGAAAACGCATTCTGTATCATGTTAAAGAAAAAAAAAAGTAAATATGCTAATGAATTTCTATTTGTCGCATTCTGAGAGTAAATTGAAATATTTAGCAAATTATATTGAGGAATGTTTTTTTTTTTTCAAATATGAAACAGTGAAATATTATTTCGGTGATGCTTTTGCTTTTATATTTTAAGAAGAAAAGTGGGATTTTTAGAAAAATTAACTGATCTATTCATTTTCATTGGTTAGTTATGAGACAATATTTCGTCATCAAAAATTTTGATTATATCACGATGATGCGTTCCTGAACCAAATCATCGTCACTTCGAGATTGCATAACGGTGGGACATCGAAGAAGTTATGTATTTTAGTCTTGAAGAATTTTTTTGATTATTTCCAATTTTCTCCACTGATTAGTGCCAGCTCAATATATCATACATACATCACTGCGGAATATGCATGTAGCTGATTGCGATAGCAGAATTAATAAGGTTTTGTTTCAAGTTAACAATATTAGCGGAATATTTTTTTTTCATAAAAATGAAAAGCTTAAATTTTTAGTTTAAATGTTAAATTTAAGGTTAACTTATTGAAAATTTGCAATTATTACAGAATTATTTAACTTCGGAATCACAAAAATATTCCTCGAACTGGTAAAAAGTTTTTATGATGTGTTTTGGACGAAGTTCAAATTGTTATTTGCTGCTAAAAAATGAATGAAAACTTACAATTATATGAAATGACGTCATTTTCTTACATCATTTCATATTATAACTTATGTTGCACACATTTGAAATCAAATTTCAAATTAATTTCTAACATAAAATTATCACTTATATATTTTTTATTTTTTATTGAAATTTTTTTTCTTTTATATTAATGTTTATTAAATGAGATATAAGTAAGGCGGAAAAGAGCAGATGCAAAGAAAAAGTAAGAACGGTGATGTCTTTTAATACTAAATATTTCGCACACTCAAATTGGAATGGGTGAAAATTAGATGGTTAAGGAATGAAATTGAAACCAAGGCAACCAGCAAGTTAGGTAAATTCAATTTCTACAACGCGTTAACACATATGTCACTTTTCTAACAATTTTCTTTTAACATTTCTTTCCTTTCCTTTTTTTTATTTCACAAATTATAGTTAATTTTGTTTTCTACCATTCAGTATTATTGGTGCTATTTTTATCACTGATAATGTTATTGCTGCTAATTATAATGTGAAATGTTTTATATAAATAAACACATAATTATATAGGTGATGAAGTGTTGCTGATCTCATTATCGATATAATTTATGATTTCGGAAAATTGAATTCAAATTATTTCCTCAAATATATAATTTCAATTTTTCTATTAATTTTATCTCGTGTTTTATTTCGTTTGATTGCAATTGCAACTTATTAATACATTTTTTTTTTTGAAGAAAACATTTTGTTTTATTTCTTAATGGCATTTTTAAAATTTTTTTTTAATTGTCCTGAAGATTTTAGAATCTTAGAATTACTGGTAGAAAAAAAATCACATGAATCATAACGGTATATACTCTTCTTTTCATCTACTGAAATAAACTACAAAAAAAAAGGAACGTCAATCATTGTTAAAACTATTGATGATCAAAGTTAGCTAAATCAATATGAGAAGAAAATAATGATGAATGAATCAAAGTAAGATATCTCGGGAATACTGCTCCTCACAAGAATATGTCAGGATTTTATGCATTCCAATATTAAATCAGCCAGAACTAGTAGTAACAAAATTTGATTGGGATTTATTCAAAAAAAAAACTTTAAATAGACAGGAGTTACTTAAATCCTTGGTATTTTCTAATTTTTCTGATGAACTTATTATCATCTTTTTTTAAATTTTCAGAACTTTAGAAACTATTAATAAATTTATAATTGATTTATCGAATTTGCTACAAACAAAATGTTAATTCGTATGTAAAAAAAATGAACAACAAAGGAAATTATTTAAATGATGAATTTATCTGTAGAATTTACTTTTTAAATAGAATAAATCGAGCATGAAATTCTATTCATATCGAAATTCTATTCATATTCATATTACCTTAAACTAATTATTAAAATATGAATTGTTTTATATTATGACTTAGTTATTTTGGTGAATTTGAAATTAACAGGAAATAAAGAATACTGTACAAACAATATTTTAATAGTGACTATCTGATTTTTGTCATTTTTTTCTACTACCACTTTATATTTTCAAAGAGTTTAAAAACAATTTTTATTGTTATCAAAAACGATTAATCAAAATAAAGAGGAATTTTGAATACTTCTCGAATAATGACTTTGTATCTCCAGCTATTGACAAATTTAGAAAAAAAAACAAATTACAGGTTGTCATAATCGAGATAGCCAAGTTAAGTGATATCGAAAAAAATTTTTGAATTTGTTTGTTTCATTTAAAATGTTTCATTTAAATTTTAGAGATGTGTCGTAACAATGAGCTAACTTTTATATCATATTTTCTATCACAATGTTTGATAATCATTTTTGCAGATGGGACATCATCATTGCATCGGCAAAGATTGTTGTCGTTGTGCTCGCTTATCCGTGGCATATTTTGCAACATTAATAATACAAGCAATTGTGATAGTGCAAACGACCGCTTTTCTTTTTCTTAATTATTTACGAGGTTTCCTAATTATTAAAGTTGCCATTTTTTTTTACATATTTACTATTCAAGAATGGAATTAAAATTCATTGAGTATAAGCAAGTAAGTAAATGAGTAAGTAAGTAATAGGACTAGATAAGTTTAACATGGGATTATAATCATTCATGAATTCAATTAATAATCTTTCAATACTTTTTAAAACAATTTACAAATTTCAGGTACAGGAATATATTCCGTAATACATGGTGATTTGAAGTATGTGTTAATACTTCTTGCAACTGTACAGGTAATTTTTCATTATACTAATCAGAAAAAAAACGCCAATGATTTCTTAGAATTAATAGTAATTAAGAAAAAATTATTTTTATTAAATATACATTTTTAATGTTTCATTTAAATGATAAATTTTTTAAAGCTTTTATGGTTTATTAGTGCCGCTGGTACAGTATATTCGATGCAAAGGATTATACCATATTTAATGCTTCCTCACATTTTTACATCATTACTTCTATTATTTGCAGCAGTGTTACTTATCACATTAACAACATATCATATAATTAAAGGTTAATTCAATTAATACACTTTTTTAAAATGAGAAATTGTGGTCTGAAGAAATATTCTTTTAAACAAAAAAAAAATTATTAATTGTTCATCAGTTTGTTGCCTAATAGTAATTATTATCATATATAATTGAATTGTCTATCTTATTTTTATCGTGTTATCATGTTGCGTAATATTAATTATCACATTACCGTACGTTATCATATTATTTGTTATCACGATTTTATCTTGTTAATCGTTATCGTGATGTTATCCTATTAATTGTTACCGTAATGTTGTCATATTAATTGTAATCATAATTTGGAAATGAAATTCAAAGTTCAAATTTATATATACTTGCAGGTTTACGGCCTAACTCTTCTTTGATACTTTTGCTACTATTATTAAGCCTTTACTCATTTGGTGCACTATATTCAATTTATTTGACGCTGTCATGTTATCGCCTACTTATGCGCAAAAGAAAATCAGTGATAAATGTTGCTGAAAATGTTATTCCAAAAAGTTTAACTCTATTCGTTTCATCATTTATTCGAAATAAAAACCATTAATTTACATTTGTATAATATTTAAAAAATAATTCAACAAACGAAGTATAGCAAGATTGTAATTTAAAAAAGATTTATAACCTATTCTATCTCAATTAATAAATTAATTTACAGTCATAGGAGTATTCATATTGGATATTTGATGCTAAATGAATATGTTAGAAGATATTAATTTCCATAAATAACTGTTATCAGTAATTTAATCTACTGTACTTTCAAAAAGCTATTTGCAGAAACGTTGACGAGTGAAGTGTTATCATCGGTAACTAATTCGATATCTTATAGCAGACGATCTACTGCTATTATCAGTGATAATTACTTACATATGGTTTCATCGAGATTAATAAATTTTATGAAATGAATAAAATTTTCATTTACAAATACATTTTTAAGAAGCATATCAGACGCAGTAGCTAATGAAATAAAAAAAAATTTGTTACCGATATAAGCATTAAATTTAAGCACATCAAACTTAATTTTATTTAACTCATAGGAATTGAAATCGAAGAGAATGTTGAAATTTTTTTAACTTATTTAAATATATAATTTGAAAATACATTAGATGATAAACACGAAAAAC